GCTCCCCCTCCTCCCCCAGTGCCGCCCCGCTGGGCACACACGGGGCTGGCACGTCCCTTCCTGGATGCGCGGGGCCCTCATTGTCTCGGGACGCTCTGCTGTGGCTGGGGGCCCGGGGCTCCCTGTTTATTTAAAAACGATGATTGTTGTTTTTATAAAAGCCCCTGCATTTGCCAAGGAGGTGGGGAATCCGTCCTAATTGAGACAGGGCAGAGCCTTGTAAGCAGGGTGATCCTGGCCTCTAGTTGTGGAAGTGCATTTCTGCCAGGGTTGGGGTGGCCGTCAGGGACAGGGAGATTAACAGGGTGTGTGCCTCCCCCGCCTCCCACCGCGTCCCGGCCGGCCAGCCCGGTACCGTGTTCCTCCCTGGAGCCCTTCCCTCCGGCCTGCGTGACATTCGGGAGCGGAACACACGCCCTGCTTTTTGTTTTATTTTCCAGCAGAGGAAGTGGCATTGCACTCAGCCAGTTTGGCTCCTGGGCAGCCGCCCTGTGCCAGGCGTGGAGGGTGGGGGACGTCAGCCGTTGGCGGGTTTTACTGTGGGGCTTTACTATCTGCACCGTATCCTTCCTTTCTGACCCCGGCCCCGGAGAAAAAGTACCCGCCTCAGAGGTCCGCTGAATGTCAGGCCCTGGGGTCAGATCCTGTGGCATGTGGCCGCTCCCACAATCCTCATCGTGACTGGCTACCGAGGGGCAGCCCGGGGGCCGGGGCTCTGCAGCTGCCCGGGCCACACGGTGGGACCCTGGCAGTCAGCACACAGTACGGAGCTGCTGTCTGGCTTGCACTGAGGGAGCCCCTGCTGTGGGCCCAACATGTATGGACGGCCTGCTGTGTGCATGGCATTTACGGAGCTCACGCAGAATATCTAGCATTTATGGGACTCTTTCTGTTTGCCTAGCATTTATGGATCTCCTGCTGTATATTTAGCATTTATGGAGCTCCTGCTGTGTGCCTAGCATTTATGGATCTCTCCTGTATATCTAGCATTGACGGATCTCCTGCTATATGTATGGCATTTATGAATCACCCTCTGTATATCTAGCATTTATGGAGCTCCTCATGTGCACCGAGCCTAGCACTGTTGCTAAAGAGAGAAAAAAGGTCATTCATTTCTCTGGAAACCGCAGTGCATTTGGAGAGAGGCCGGTGGCTTAGGGACAAGGTAGAGGTGAGCCCAGCAGACTGAGGTGTGGACGCGGGGAGCCTATGTTCAGAACAAACGCATGGGGTCCCTCCAGCTGACAACTGGGCGCTCCGGCGCCTGGGAAGCTGGGCGCAGGCTGGGCTCATCCCGCACAGCTGTGTGTGCCCCGGCTCCCAGAATGGCGATGGGTGCAGAGCCAGGCCCTGCCTTCCAGGGGCCGCAGGGCTGGAAGGTCACCAGAGGCTGGAACCGCGCTCCCGCCCCTGGGACATCCTCAGACCGAGTGCTGAGAGCCCCGAGGGCACGGGGCTGGGCTGACCTCACCTCGCCCCTGCAAATGCCTTCTTCCTAACACCCCTCCCCTCCGTGTCCCCCCAGATCTCCGGATGGACCCAGGCCCTGCCGGACATGGTGGTGTCCCACCTCTTCGGGAAGGTGAGTTGGGGGCCTGGACTCGGTAACCCCTTTTCTCCGAGAGCACCGTGGCTCGGAGATTAAAGCACTTTCCCCCGGGGGGGGGGGGGGGGGCAGCGATGCGGTGAGAGGAAGGAGGCGGTTTTCTTCTCCATTTAAGCTTCTCCGGGCTCACTACCCACCAGGCAGACAGGATAAAATGGCCGGGTTTAACTACGGACCTCGGTACCGGAGCCCGCAGGACGAGAGAGTCAGAGACGGAAGGGGAAAGGAGGCGCATTGGCACTGAGCTCAGGATGAGGGGCTGCTCTTTGGGCTCCGGAGGGAGAGCACGGGTTCGGTTGTTAGTCGTGGGACCTGCCACACCGTCGGAGAGGCCATTTCTGGTGGCGACTCTGGCCGTGGGCCAGGCGAGGGGTGTGAACGCCCACGGACAGCTAGGCAGGGGGAGCAGGCACTTCTTTCGAGTCCCCAGGGTCTCGGTTGGCATTCACTCAACATAACTTGCACCCCACCGAGGCACATCTTGGGGTGCTTGTTCTGAACCCTTGTGGAGTACAGCTCCAAGCCCAGGAGGACTGACTTCAAGTCCGAACTCAAAGCACTGAGCCCGGAGTGGAGGGTGCGCTTTGCCCGTCGGACCACAGCTTGAGTGTGGTTGTGGGGCCACCGCCCTGATGTTCCGGGGCCCATTGCCTTCCCCTGGTGCCGGCCCCTCCCCTGCCCCTGCCCCTGCCCCTGCCTGGGCCCGTGAGGACCTTTCCTCTCTCGTTGCAGGAGGAGATGCAGAACAACGTGGAGGTGGTGCACACCTACCGCCAGCACATCATCAACGACATGAACCCCGGCAACCTGCACCTGTTCATCAACGCCTATAACAGGTGCGCCCCCCGCAGGCTGAGGGGGGGTTGTGGCCAGAGGTATGGTAGCCGCAGGAGAGGCAGCCCCTGGACTTGAGCAAACATGTCAGCAGGACGGGGCGCCCTCAGCCAGGCTTTCCTGGGGTGCTGAGCGCGTGTCCAGGAGCCGGGCTGCCACTCCAGGCCGGGAGTGCCAAGAAGAGGAGGGCCTGTCATGCCCTCAGGGTGGGGAGTACGTGTCTGCGCCCATGGTGACCCTAGGAAAGGACAGGTGCGGGGACAGGTGGGGACAGGTGCGGGGACAGGCAGGGATTGATATGAGGACAGGTGTGGGGACAGGTGTGGGGACAGGTGCGGGGACAGGTGGGGGGACAGGTGTGGGGACAGGTGCGGGGACAGGTGGGGACAGGTGCCGGGACAGGTGCGGGGACAGGTGTGGGGACAGGTGCGGGGACAGATATGGGGATAGGTGCGGGGACAGGTAGGGACAGGTGTGGGGACAGGTGTGGGGACAGGTGGGGACAGGTGCAGGGACAGGCGGGGACTGATATGAGGACAGGTGTGGGGACAGGTGCGGGGACAGGTGGGGACAGGTGCCGGGTCAGATGTGGGACAGGTGGGGACAGGTGCGGGGACAGGTGTGGGACAGGTGGGGGGACAGGTGTGGGGACAGATGTGGGGACAGGTGTGGGATAGATGCGGGGACTGATAGGAGGACAGGTGTGGGGACAGGTGGGGACAGTGCGGGGACAGGTGTGGCACAGGTGTGGGACAGGTGTGGCACAGGTGTGGGACAGGTGGGGACAGGTGTGGGGACAGGTGGGGACAGGTGTGGGACAGGTGGGGACAGGTGTGGGACAGGTGTGGCACAGGTGTGGGACAGGTGGGGACAGGTGTGGGACAGGTGGGGACAGGTGCGGGGACAGGCGGGGACTGATATGAGGACAGGTGTGGGGACAGGTGGGGACAGGTGCGGGGACAGGTGTGGCACAGGTGGGGACAGGTGGGGACAGGTGCGGGGACAGGTGTGGGACAGGTGTGGCACAGGTGTGGGGACAGGTAGGGACAGTGCGGGGACAGGTGGGGACAGGTGGGGACAGGTGTGGGGACAGGTGGGGACAGGTGCGGGGACAGGCGGGGACTGATATGAGGACAGGTGTGGGGACTGGTGCGGGGACAGGTGTGGGACAGGTGGGGACAGGTGTGGGGAGGAGAGCTGAGAGAGAATCGGTGCACCGGGGACGGGAGGAAGCCCAGGAGGCTGCTGGGAGGCGGAGAGTTGTTCCCAAGATGAGTAAATGCCTGCGCACAGCCTCTGGCAAGGACCAGGCCTCTCCTCCGCAACGGTGCCTGTGGGAGCTCCACTGGAGGATGGGCGGCCTGGGGCCATGCAGGCGAGCCCGAAGTTCTGGAATCTCAGGGTCGCTCAGCCTCTGAGTGGTTCTGTCTCCATCCTCCCTTTATTGCCATGACCTGTGGCATGCACGTGCCTCTGGGGTCGCCCAGCGTCCGGGGCAGAGCAGAATGGCTTTGCTCAGTGGGAGGGTCTTCCCGATGGGCGGGGCGGTCTGCAGATGTAATTAACAGTGCTTCCACCGTCCTCTGATGTCATTAATTAATGGTGCTTCCGGTCCGTCCGTCCTCCGATGTAATTAACGGTTCTTCCGTCCGTCCTCTGCAGCCGGCGGGACCTGGAGATTGAGCGGCCGGTGCCGGGCGTGTCCACAGTCACCCTGCAGTGAGTTGCTCTCTCCCCCATCTCTGGACTCGGCACATGCCATTTCCTCCCCAGCTTGGTCCGTGGTGTCTCTGAGCTCAATTGCTGACCACGTTCCTCTCAGCCTTCCTAGAGAAGAGGGTGTTCAAAATATAAGAGCATCGGGGCATAGAAATTCTCTGGCTAAATTCACGCTAAAGTGTAAATGACTTACCGATCGATGTTATTCTAAGAACAAAGTAGGGGATGGAGGGAGGAGGGAGGAGGGAGGGAAATGGGCAAAGGGCACGGAGGAAGCAGAGTCATGTTGTTCGGACCCTGGCAGGCCTAGGAGTGTACGGGTCTTCAAAGGAACCGCGTGTTAACGCCCCCTCGCCTCCCTGCCCCCAGGTGTCCGGTGCTGCTGGTGGTCGGGGACAGCTCGCCCGCCGTGGACGCTGTGGTACGTAGACACCACCCGCGGGTGTTGGTGCATAATTCAGCATCCACATCCTCCCCATCTCTTTCCTTTCCTCCGCCCAACCGGGCAGGCGGCACCTCCTCATTGCCACGCTGGTCTTGGGCAGAGGCCCGGCCACCCGCCTGTCTCCGTGGTGACCATCAGCCTGGTGCTGGGCAGTGGGCCTTCCGTCCCCCTCCCGGCACCCCTCCCCTGCCCATCTGCCTCCCACCGGCTCATTTTCCACTCGGCTTCCTGGCCAGTGCCTGGCTGTCTGGCAGCACAAGGGGCACCTGAGAGCTGGGCGTGAGCATGCTTTCCGGCTTATTTCACCCTTTCCTTCGCCCCGGGGCCGAGGCACAGGCCGCCCCGGGCCGTGTCATGGAGACCGTGGCTGCGGTCCTGTCCCTCGGTGAGAGCCTTCACAGGGACATGCTGTTCACCTTGGGAGGAGGTTCACCAGGCGCTGGAGCAGCACAGGCCACAGCTGGCCACTGCCCGCGCTGGAGGCACTGCCAGGAGGGTCTGGGCACGGAGGAGAGAGACAGCTGGGGGCAGGACGGCGCGTGTGAGAGTGGTGTTAGGGGCTGGGGTGTGCAACCTCCGGGCTCACTGGCCTCGGGCTGAGGAAGGCCACTCACTTAGTGAATGTTTCTAGAGCACTTTCGACATGCTGGGAGTCTGCCTAACCGCCCGCAACTACAGCAACCGCTTTTTATTTTTATTTTATATTTTTAAACATACATTTTATTGTGTGTGTTTTTTTACAGAGAGGAAGGGAGAGGGATAGAGGGCTAGAAACATCGATGAGAGAGAAACATCGACCAGCTGCCTCCAGCACACCCCCCACTGGGGATGTGCTCAAAACCAAGGTACATGCCCTTGACCGGAATCGAACCTGGGACCCTTCAGTCTGCAGGCCAATGCTCTATCCACTGAGCCAAACCGGTTTCGGCCAAACTCCTTTTATGAATGCAGAGACTGAGGCTCAAAGAAGTAACTTGTCTAAGGTCACACAGGCAGTGATGGCAGGGCTGGACTTAGAAGCCACATCTGCTTATTTTATTTATTAATAATTATTTACACTAATTATTAATAAGTATTTATACATATCTACTTATTAATAATTTCATATATATAAGAGTATATATATGAAAATATATATATTGCTTTCAGAGAGGAAGGGAGAAGGACAGAGATGGAAATATTAACGATGAGAGAGAATCGTTGATTGCTGCCTGCCTCCTGCACGCCCCACACTGGGGATCGAGCCCACAACCCAGGCCTGTGCCCCGGCTAGGAATCGAGCTGTGGCCTCCTGGTTCCTAGGTCCACGCTCAAACTCTGAGCCACGCCAAAGGCACAGCTGTTTAAGCCCATGTTTCTTTCTTCTATGCTCTGGGAACATGGAGTCTGAGGATGGTGGTGGGGGGTAGGGGGGGGGACAGGTGGTCACTTGGGCTCTGGTTGAAAATTAACAGATTTCTCCTCCCTCTCCTTGTCCAGGTGGAGTGCAACTCAAAGCTGGACCCAACCAAGACCACCCTCCTCAAGGTACAGGCACCGCCAGGGGGGTTGGCACGCGCCCTTCAAAACTCCTGGGTTTTCTGCAAACACTGAGTTGTGCCGGCTTAGGCAGAGCTGCTGGCCAGACATGATAGGAATGATGATTTACTCCCTGTGCACACACTTGTCCTGGTGCTGGCTGGTACGGTGAGAGGTCAGAGGGGAGGATCCCTCCGGGGGACCCCAGGGTGTGTGGGCTGCAGCCTGTCGCCCTTGGGATCTGACCTTGACCCTGGCCTGTAGGGTGGCCTGGTGTCACCCGCTCTCACTGACCCCTTCCGGCCCGTCTCCCTCAAAGCCATCCTTGAGCACAGGCTCTGGGCCAGGCCCGATCATCGCCCCTCCCGGGGGAATGCCACACGTGGCGAGTGGCTTTGATAAGTGCCGAGGGCTTTGGGTTGGGTGATTTGGTAGTCACGTGGGGAGTGGGCACCTTTCCCCAGAGCGGCCCATCGGGAGTCCCATGAGCCGAGGTCTTGAGCCTGGCAGTCTCCTCCTGGGCGGTCTGTGCAGGGCATGGGTACCAGGGCTTCTGCCAGCTCCGCCAGCTCTGCCTGGCCTCTCGGGTGGGACAGGGCCTCCCGGGTTCCCGGGGGACAGAGTGAAATGATCGATGGGCGTATCAGAAGGTACACGTCATGGGCTGAGAGAAACCATGCCGGGGCCCATGGAAGTAAAGCAGCCTTGCTGGTGGGGCTGGGCGTTTGCCATCTGCAATGTGCCAGCCCCTCAGCAGGCAGGCGGCGGGCAGGGCAGCGGGCAGGCGGCCGGCAGGGCCACTTGGAGCCGGGTCGCAGAGGGAGGGTGGGCTCGGCTGGGTGACGGCACTAACCACTCCTCTCCTCCAGATGGCGGACTGCGGCGGCCTCCCGCAGATCTCCCAGGTGAGTCCACCTGCCGCCCAGGGGGAGGCTGAGCCTCTGACACCTGTCACTGCTTCCCCCTCCTTTTCTCCCTGCTCGCCCCTCCTTCCCCCCAGCCCCTGAGCGAGGGACTCACTGACTCCAGAAACCCCTATGGAGGAGGTGACGGGCCCCGGGGAGGCATTCATCCGGCGGCCACAGCGGGGCGATCCCAGGCCGGGGTCGAGGTCTGCCCCGCCCGGCGGCCCCGGGTGTCCACGTGCTGCTGGGAGCGTCCCTGTGAGGAAGGGACCAGCTCTCTGACTCCCAGGGCCCCGCTAACCTCACGGGCGTCTGATGGGAGAGGGACAGTCATGCCGGCCGGCGTGGCTCCGTGGCTCAGCATCAACCTATGAACTGCGAGGTCATAGTTCCATTCCAAGTCGGGGCACAGGCCCGGGGTGCGGGCTTAATCAGTGAGGCAGCCGATCCCTGATTCTCATTCCTGATGTTTCTCTCTCCCCCTCTCCCTTCCTCTCTGACATCAATAAAGTCATATTAAAAAAAAAAAAAAAAAAAAAAAAAAAAACGAAAAGGGCGAGTCTGGGCTCTGAGCCCCAGCGAGTGGACGATGCTCTGAGGTCCACGGGACAGGCCACGTCGGGGTAGGCGGTGTCTTGCTGGGCGCCTGGCGAAGAGGCCGCTGGCCTCGGGGTCCTGGCAGACCCACATCAGGCAGACCCCGGCCCGGCTTGCCGCTCTGGGCCGCCTCGGGCCCGCCTCGTACCCCGCACTCCCAGGGCGTGAGCCCCGGCTTTGCCGGCTCTTAGCTTCCCCACACCCGTGTCCGTGTGCGCCTGCTCCCTCTAGATCAGGACACAGATGTTTCCAATGTCTCAGCCGTGGCTGTGTTGCTCACGTGATGGGGAGCAGCTGGGCGCCCCATGGGGCCCGCGTAGCTGTGATCATGAGTTAACACCTGCCTTTGGCGATGGCACCTGCTCCCCTCCCAGCCCAACCCTGAGCCACTGCTGAGATGGCCGCCGCCAGGGCCCCTGAGGCTGATGGGGAGAAGGGGTGCCGTCTTCCCTTCCGCCTCCCCTGCCTGCCTTCTCCTCTTCCTTTCTCTGCTGGAAATGAGAACAGAACTGCCCGGCCATAGTGACAACATGGCTTACACGCCCCGCCCAGCGGGAGCGGGACCGGCCCGGGGTTCCAGGCCATGAGCCCGGGAGGCCATCACCACGCAGCTGCCCCTTCCCCCACCCAGATACGTTGGGTGTTGGGTGGCATTTACACAGAGTGTTTCCACCTTCCTCCTCCGTGATCCTGGCTCCTGGCGGCAGCTTGAGAGGCGGGAAGAGCAAGTGTTGAGTTGCTGTCCCCGGCAGGCTAGGAAAGTGAGACCAGCAGAGGGGACTCCCAGGGGGGTCCATCGGGGGCCAGGCACCCCCATTTCTAAGCCTGCACTCCTGCTCCCCGGGCCCCGTGGAGACCTCCCTGGCCGCCCGTGGCCCAGCGGACTGGACTTCCCCCCCTCCCCCCCCCGTCATAGCTGGGATCGGTCCCTCCAAGACCCTTCCTGTCCTGAGGGGGTCACTGCAGGGCGGGGATTAGCTGGGCCTCCTCTCAGGGCCCAGGTCTCTCGTGAAGGTGACCGGCCACAGCTCACGTGGCCAGTGCTGACCCGGACCCGGCACTGACCCGCCGCCCCTCCCTCTTTTCTCTCGCAGCCAGCCAAGCTCGCCGAGGCGTTCAAGTACTTCGTGCAGGGCATGGGATACAGTAAGTGTGGCACTGCCCCGGGCGCCGGGCCGGGCCGGGGCGGGGGGAGCTGGGAGGGCGATACCCGGCCCGGGTTCGGATGGGAATTCTGGGACGTCCTGGCCAGCGGCGGCTCTGCACACGGGCGGGCGGAGGGGGCGGGGACAGAGGTGCAGGGAGGGGTAGCTGGGCCGTCGCTCCTGCCCTCCTGAACAGGGACGTCTTTGTACGCCTGATGTCGTTCACTTTTCCTGAGACTTGAGCCGTTGGCTCGGTTAAAATAGTCCCGGTGCGTCTGACCACAGTCCCGAGGCGGCCTCAGCCACGTTTGGTGTCTGTGAGGCGCAGGGCGGATGGCCAGCGGACTGCCAGGCTGTGGGCGGGGTCCGTGTCCCCGGGTGCCCTCTGCCAACAGAGACCCGCCGCCCGCCCGCTGGCCGAGCCCTCTCCCGGGGGCGCGGTGGGGAGAGCAAGAGCCGCGACGCCTTTGTCTGGGCCTCTCTGGGCTCGGAGTTTTGCTCTGAACGTGTATTCTGGCCCTCGCCATTTTGGCTCCGTGGATGGAGCGTCGGCCTGTGGACTGAAGGGTCCCAGGTTCGGTTCCAGTCAGGGGCACATGCCCAGGCTGTGGGCTCGATCCCCAGCAGGGGGCGTGCAGGAGGCAGCCGGTCAGCGATTCACTCTCATCATTGGATTTAAAAAAAACACAAAACTCCCAAGAAACCAAACCAAACACAAGCAAACAACTATAAAGCGCTGAGCCCGTGGGTGGTCAAGTCGCTGCTAATTAGGACCGAGCTAAAACGTCAGATCTGGGCCCTGGCTGGTTTGGCTCAGTGGATGGAATGTTGGCCCTCAAAGGATGTTCCTCTCTCCCTCTCCCTTCCTCTCTGAAAATAGAGGGGAAAAAAGAAAAGGTGCTCGGCCAGGTGGGCACAGAGGCGGCCCCGAGGCCGGCATGGGGTGCTCCCAGCGTCCTGCCCCCTCACGGCTGTCTCTCTCCCCCCAGTGCCCTCCGCCAGCATGACCCGCCTGATGCGGTCCCGCACGGCCTCGGGCTCCAGTGTCACGTCGCTGGAGGGGTCCCGCAGCCGCTCGCACACCAGCGAGGGCACCCGCAGCCGCTCCCACACCAGCGAGGGCACCCGCAGCCGCTCCCACACCAGCGAGGGCGCCCGCCTGGACATCACCCCCAGCTCCGGGGCCACCGGGAACAGTGCGGGGCCCAAGTCCATGGAGGTGTCCTGCTAGGCGGCCGGCGCCCGCCGCCCCCCCCCCCGGACTGTAGCTGCCCCCTCCTCCGCCCCTCCCCACCCCCCACCTGCCACGCTGCACGCAACTGGACATTAACCCCCAGCTTGTTGTGTACGAGGGAGCTCTGGCCAGGGCTTCAGATGGGATTTGTCCAGGGCGCCCCCTCCAGGCCGGGCAGGGTGGACCAAAGGAACGTAAGCATCTCAGAGTCCCCTGTGCATTGACCAGTGGCCTGGTGGCTGCCGGCTTCCCTGCCTCCGAGATGCCACACCACCCCGAGCAAGAAACACAGCAGGAAACGGGCCCTAATCCAGGCCCAGGCTCGCAGGGGCGTTTGGGGGAAGTCAGCCCAGCTGCTCCTGTTCCCTCTCCGGCTAAAGGCAAACCCACCCAGATTCCGGAGACAAACCCTGCCCTGGTGTGGGGGGAGGGAGCAGCGAGCCCGGGGAGGCTGGTGTAGGCCAAACAGGCAGCCGGGACGAGCCGCGGAGCGTACGGGGAGGCTCAGAGAGTTTGGAAAAGCAAATCTACGTAGCTCCCTTGAAATCGATGTCTGAGGTTCGTGCACGCATACACTCTGCCATGCCAGCGCGCGCACACACAGGCCTGCTCTCCTGGCTTGCTTTTTTTTTTTTTTTTTTTTTATGACCACAAAGTGGGGACAGATCCTCCTGGCTTTGCTGCAACAACAACAAAAACCCGCTGACAAGTACTTAGCATCACGGATTTAAGGCTTTGGCTCTGCTCCCTCCCCTTCCTCCTCCTCCTCCTCCTTCTTCTCTTCCTCCCCCGACCCAGCTTCCCACCCCCAAGATGTGAACAGTGGTTATTTCCTTCATGGGGTAGAGCCTCTAACTACTGGGGTGCTTTCCTGGAGATGGAGGGGACATTCCCAACAGGTGTTCCCAGCTGCCAGGAGTCTCCATGCCTCGGGGCGGGGTGGGGGTGGGGTTTGGGGTAACCAGCTGTAAATAACAGACTCCTTGTGGTTAGGGTGGAATCCAGGGAGCTTGTGATTTCTGTGGATCGCGTCCTGGTTTCCAGAGACCCTTTCTGGGATCAAGTTCCATCCTGGTTGAGTCTGAGCTTGACGGCCTAACCTTTCTGACCCGGTTACATTCCTGGATCTTTCCCGGTTCCATTCCTGTTGGCTTTTGTATGGGGTGGGGACTCGGGTGGGGGTGGGGGGAGAAGAGGAGCAGATGTAAGGGTTCTGGAATGTGTGTCCCCTGAGATCTCCTTCCCGCTCCTGCCTCCCGCTCCTCCCTGCCCCCCTAACCTCTCTCTGAATGGGGTGGCACCACTGACCTGTCTGGGTCGAGTTCCCGTACCACTGCCTTTTGATTCTCATCCCGGCTAACCCTGCCTCCGCTAGGGAGTGTGACCAGAGGGAAGGGACGTGGTGAACGGGCTGCTGGGACCCCGCGGTCTCCGGGCCCCCGGAGTTGGTGGGAGGGAGTCATCCGGCCTTGCAGGCAGCGTGAGGGGTCACGAATGACTCCATCCACCTGCCGCCTTCTATGGGAGGCTCCCCCTGACCTCGAGCAGAGGGTCAGGGGTCAGAGGTCAGGGCAGGAGTGGCTGGATCCAGACGGAAGACTGCTGTGAACACGTCTCTCCAGAGGAGTTTCTTAACGAGATATTTGTATTTATTTCCAGACCAATAAATTTGTAACTTTGCAGTGCGGTGTCCTTTTTCTCTGCCGGAGAGCGTGTGTGTGTGTGTGTGTGTGTGTGTGTGTGTATGTGTGTGTGTGTGTATGTGTGTGTATGTATGTGTGTGTGTATGTGTGTGTATGTGTGTGTGTGTGTGTGTGTGTGTGTGTGTGTGTGTGTGCGCGCGCGGCTCCGTGGTTTAAGGGCGGCTCCAAGCCCCAGCCACAGCTCCCTCGCCTTTGGCTCCATAGAGCATCCATCGCTGCCCAATAAAAACGCAATGTGAGCTTCCCATGTTCTTTTTTCTATTAAAATTTTTTTTTTTTTAATTTCAGAGAGAGAAACACCCATGATGGGAAAGAGTCATGGATTGGCTGCCTCCTGCCTGCACAATCCCCACTGGGGATGGAGCCCGCCACCCACATGTGCCCCTGACGGGGAATCGAACTGCGACCTCCCAGTTCCTAGGCTGACCCTCAGCCACTGTGCCACGCTGGCCGGGCAGCGCCCCATTTTCTGGTGGCCACGTTGAGAAAGAAAGGGACAGGTGAACCTAATGTCAGCAATGCCTGTCACCCGGTGCATTCAGTGTCCCGTGTCGGCATAGACGCGGTGTAACCGCTACTCAGGTTCTCCATTCTTTCCTTGATGCTGCAACACCAGCGTGGCATCCTCCACAGCAGCGTCCAGCCCCGCCCCGGGCAGTGCTCAGCGGCCTGGACAGCACAGGGCGGTGGTGCACGCCTCCCCCTGCACTTCCAGGAAAATGGCCTTTTACAGCTCCTGTTCCTTCTAGAAACGTCTGTGGGAAGACCACTCCCTTTCTCACATCCAGTCACAACCCCTGCATGCATGCTCCTACTGAGAAAGAAATACAATGGGTTTTGGTATAATAGCCTCTCATTATTATGTGGATTGAAGACCAGTTTAAAATGTGCAAAAACGGTTACAAAGGAAGCACGGTGAGCCCCCGTGGGCCCCTGCTCACCTGAGAAACATAAAAACTAAAAACATTAAAAACGCTTGTGAGTTTATTAGAGCCAAACTGCGGGGACAACGGCTGGGAAGCGGGGTCTCCCTGTGCGGGGAGAACGTTCTGGAGAAGGGCCTTTTATCCCATGTTTTACCCATTGCCATCAAAGGAGGGGCGTAAAGGGTTAGCGGAACTCCATTGGGGATCGAAGAGGGAGGCGGGGGAAAACAAAGCAGGAAACCTGTGGGATTGGGTAAAAGGAAAATGATGGGCACGTGCTGCTTTCACTCGGGGGGTTGCAGGAAGTTAAGGGCCGGCAGTGAACCCTGAACAGGATCCCAATGAGGAAGCTGGTGGTCTCCGCCCTGGTGCACGGGGTGTGTCCTGAGGGGTCCGGGAAAGGGGAAGTTACAAGTTACCGGACATCCCACAGGTAGGTCACCTTAGAGGCAAAAAGACCTTAGACTCAGAGCTGCTCTTTCGCAGGGGAGACCCTGGCCTGGGACCTGACTGCCCCCTGTGGCTGCTTTCTAGTTCCCAGAGGTCTCTGGGCTGAGCACCCTGAGGTCTCTGAGTTCGCCAGGCCGCCACCCAGGCCCTCCCGGAGGCAGCCAGGATCGCATGTGGCCCTTTTGCGTCCACACCCCTCCCTCAGTTTCTCTTACTAGTATTTTTTTCCCCTAAAAAAGGTTTTATATATTGTCCTTTTGTGGGGTTTCATTGTTTTTATTATTATTATTATTATTTTATTATTTTTATTTCTTTATTAAGGTATAATCAATATTTGTACTCAACCCCCCATTCCAATCCCCCACCCCTCCCCACGCATGCCCCCACCCCTCTGTTGTCCTTGACCACTGGTTAGGATCATATGTATGCACACAAGTCCTTTGGTTGATCTCTCCCTTTTATTAAGGTGACCTGACGTCCCGCTTTTGGTGGGACAGTCCCGAAATCGAAACTTTTTTAAAACACCGCGGGATGCAGGACAAATAGCTAAAAATCGGGACTGTCCCGCCAAAAACAGGACGTCTGGTCACCCTACTTTTATCCCCACTAATTTTGTTTTTTACAGAATTAGTGGGGATAAAGAGAGAGAGAGAGAGACATATGGCTTTGTTGTTCTGCTGACTTAGGTACCTTGGTTGCTGCTTGTCTGGGCCCTGACCGGGTGGAACCCACAACCCTGGTGTATGGGGCTGATGCTCTAAACAAGGGAGCTGCCCGGCCACAAAATACCACGACCTGGGCGAGTCTATGTTGAAGAAGTGTCATTAGAGGAAGTTTAAAAAATGTGGCTCTCCAAAGAAATGTCAATCGTTGTGCTGTTGGTATTGGGCTCTGTTGACTCATGAGTTTGCCGACCACGGGGTTAGGTTATTCTGACACAGCGGTTGCGACTAAGAAAGCGACACGGACACATGATTATTCACTAAGGCCCACGCTTTATTGGGAGTGCACGAACTTTGCGTCATTGTCCTTTCCTGCCCCAGGACCTGCCCAGGACACCCAGTCATGTCTCCGTAGCGCCTGGCCTGGCACCCTTTCTCCCTGGACGTGGTGACCGGGGGAGTGAGAAGTCCCGCCAGGCTTCGTGCAGGCGGCGCTCCCTCCGGGAGGTGTGCACGGTGCTACCCTCGGTCCGTCAGGGTCTGAGTCTTTGGAATGAAGATCCGGAGGCCCTTCTCAGGACGAGTCAGCATCGTTCATCGCTGTGAGCTGACCGGACTGACCCGCACAGGCAGCCTTTGCCAGGTCTTCCCACTGTCCCTGCCTTCCCCCCTCCCCTTTCCAGGCGAGGCACCAAGTGCAGCCCACACTGAAGACACCCTCCCTTTTACCGCATTTGTTAAATATGTTTGTATTGATTTTTAGAAAGAGAGGAAAGGAGGAGGATAGAGAGATAGAAACGTCAATGAGAAAGAAACATCATTGATCAGCTGCCTCCTACACGCCCCAGCCTGGAGGGGGTGGGTGGTGGGTCGAGCCCACAATCCAGGCATGTGCCCCGACGGGGAATCGAACTGGCAGCTTCCTGGTGTATAGGTTGATGCTCAACCACTGAGCCACACCCACCTGGCAAGTCACCCCCCAACCAAAACCAAAACCAAAAACAAAAACAAAAACAAAAACAAGAAGTCCCCCTCCCCCCCAGCATCATGCTGTTATTCTGTTTTTCTCCGTGCACCCTGAGGAGTGTCTGAGTGGGCCATCGGCGGGAAACACGAAGCCGGCAGCGGAGTGGATGGGCTGCTGTCCGGCCCGGGGCTCAGGAAGTGGGTTTGGAAGCTGCTGACTCAGCGCAGAGGGGAAGACAGCATCCCAGCCGAGGGGCCCTCGGGCAGGCCAGCGTGGGTGGAGGCGTGTG